TCTGAGGCTCTCCTGCCTTTTGAGTGGATTATGTGTCTCAGAATACTCTTCTTTGGCATTGGTCAGCCATTATTTGATGAAGGCTGAGTTTGTCTGTCTTCTTCAGGGATTTCTCTAAGTCATGTATTTGTAGGCTCCTGTGAAGCCTGGTCCCAGTCTCTGGCCTCTCTTTCTCCCTTTCTCTTTGAACCCAAGCATGCATTTTATAGATCATCTCCATTTGCTCCATTAGCTGAAGCTTTCAGGTTGCTGCATCATTTGGCATGCTGTAGTTTTAAAATTCGAGTGTATCACTGGAGCCTTGTGATTCTTTCCCTGAGTCACATTGTTTGCACATGTGTGTGTATGTGTGTGCACGCATGAGCCTTCCTCACCCCACTCACTGGCCGCTGGTTCTCTCCCACCCAGAGCACCGTGTGCACATGCGTGTGTGAACCTCACCCCACTTGCTGGCCGCTGGCTCTCTCCCACCCAGAGCACTGTGTGTGCACACGCGTGCGAACCTCCTCACCCTGCTCGCTGGCCGCTGGCTCTCTCCCACCCAGAGCACTGTGTGCACACGCATGTGAACCTCCTCACCCTGCTCGCTGGCCGCTGGCTCTCTCCCACCCAGAGCACTGTGTGCACACGCGTGTGTGAACCTCACCCCGCTCGCTGGCCGCTGGCTCTCCCACCCAGAGCACTGTGTGTGCACACGCGTGTGAACCTCCTCACCCCGCTCGCTGGCCGCTGGCTCTCCCACCCAGAGCACTGTGTGTGCACACGCGTGTGAACCTCCTCACCCCGCTCGCTGGCCGCTGGCTCTCTCCCACCCAGAGCACTGTGTGTGCACACGTGTGTGTGAACCTCCTCACCCCGCTCGCTGGCCGCTGGCTCTCTCCCACCCAGAGCACTGTGTGCACACGTGTGTGTGAACCTCCTCACCCCGCTCGCTGGCCGCTGGCTCTCTCCCACCCAGAGCACTGTGTGTGCACACGTGTGTGTGAACCTCCTCACCCCGCTCGCTGGCCGCTGGCTCTCTCCCACCCAGAGTACTGTGTGCACACGTGTGTGTGAACCTCCTCACCCCGCTCGCTGGCCGCTGGCTCTCTCCCACCCAGAGCACTGTGTGTGCACACGTGTGTGTGAACCTCCTCACCCCGCTCGCTGGCCGCTGGCTCTCTCCCACTCAGAGCACCGTGAGCACACGTGTGTGTGAACCTCCTCACCCCGCTCGCTGGCCGCTGGCTCTCTCCCACCCAGAGCACTGTGTGCACACGTGTGTGAACCTCCTCACCCTGCTCGCTGGCTGCTGGCTCTCTCCCACCCAGAGCACCGTGTTTGCACACGCGTGTGAACCTCCTCACCCCGCTTGCTGGCCGCTGGCTGTCTCCCACTCAGAGCACTGTGTGCACACGTGTGTGTGTGAACCTCACCCCGCTCACTGGCCGCTGGCTCTCTCCCACCCAGAGCACCGTGTGTGCACACGCGTGTGAACCTCACCCCACTCGCTGGCCGCTGGCTCTCCCACTCAGAGCACCGTGTGCACACGTGTGTGTGAACCTCACCCCACTCGCTGGCCGCTGGCTCTCTCCCACCCAGAGCACCGTGTGCACACACGTGTGTGAACCTCACCCTACTCGCTGGCCGCTGGCTCTCCCACCCAGAGCACCGTGTGTGTGCACACGCGTGTGTGAATCTGCTCACACTGCTTGCTGGCCGCTGGCTCTCTCCCACCCAGAGCACTGGGTAGGGCAGCAGTTCCCTTGGCCTCTCTGGGCAGCAGCAGGGCTTTGTGTAGCGGTGTGCCGAGGCCTCAGGTCAGGGTCTGCCCAGCACATAGGAGTCCCATCCTGAGAGGCAGCTGAGCATCCGCCGTGAGCGGGGCCCCATCACGGGGCCTGAGCTCTGGGCCTGGACGCTGTCTCTCAGCTCTTCAGCTCAAGGCTAGCACTGTACCACTGGAGCCACAGCGCTACTTCTGGCTTTTCTGCTTATGTGGTGCTGAGGAATTGAACCCAGGGCCTCTTGCATGAGGCAAGCACTCGACCACTGAACCACCTTCCTAGCCTTGTGCTCCAGGTTTCGTTTTGTTTTTTCCTTTTCTAAGCACACAGGATTTGCTGTGGTCTGACCTTGGGTATCGATTTGGGGAAAACCTGCCTTTTTGCTAACATGCCAGTGTCGGTGGGGGAAGGGACCCGAGGCTGCTGCGACCTGCATTCCCTGCACTGTGCAGGGCTGCCTGGCAATGCCGCACCCTTGGGAACCTCCTGCGTGTGCTCCAGATGGTGCTGTGCTGGGATCCTGGGTGCTCCAGGCACAGGAAAGGATGGACTGCCGAGACTCACGTTATGTCCCATCTTCGGGGTCCCGTCCTCCCCGGGGCCAGGGCGCTGCCCAGGGGACAGTCTGTGGGGTAGTGACTGACCCGGAGTCTCGGTCCTGATCTGTGGTCCAGCAAAGGCTGGTGGCCTTGTTGCCAGAGCCCCGCCCCTGGTACACTCCCCGTGGGCACAGCCCCTGCCACCGCCCTCAGTGGGCCTCCTCCCCAGCTGTGGCCCTCCATGCCTGCAGTACTGAGCGGGCTCAGGCTGGCCAGTGCAGTCCTGTGTGGGGGGTGTACTTGGATCACAGCGTTTCCCCACAGACAGCTGTTCTAGGACTTATAATCGTCACCTGGAAGGGCGTTCTTGCTTTGCATGTCTGCATGTATGTAAGGGCAAGCATGTGTGTGTGCGTGGTGCCCATGGGGTGCCAGGTCCAAGGTGGTGGCTGGTCTCTGGCCGTCCATGAGGGCTGCCTGGACATCGGCAGCCCCGAGTCCACCAGGAGCCCAGACGCTCTGAGCGCGAGGCCGGCTGCGGGCTGCACCTGGCAGCCCCTCAGGGAAGCACTGGCGTGGGTTGGCAGGACCTGGGGGTCGGGGTGACCGGGGCAAGTTTTGAGGGCGGCTGAGCCGCTCTGGCCAGCCCTGCTGCCTTGGCCTGCGCTGGGGCCCGTCTCAGGGCCGCATTCTTTCCTGGCAGGGAGGACGCGATCATGCCAGTTACCCAAGAAGCAGCAGAAGCGTCTCCAGGTGGTGTCGAGGCCGCGTTTCTGACTGCAGACCTGACAGGCCCACCTGCGGGCCTCACCACCTGGTCCACGCAGGCTCCATCCGGTGCCCAGGCCGCTTCTCCTGACCCTGGTGAGGGAAGAGTCCCTGAGAGACGCACGGGGCTCCCAGGGACTCGTGGACAGGCGGGAGGCGACGAGCAGCCGTGGCCGGGCCAGCCACTGCTGGCGTCCTGGGGCTGTGTCCCTGGCCGCTCCTCTTGGAGCCAGGCTCGAGGCTCTCCAGGTGCTGCCGGCCCCGAGCAGGGCGGGCTCTGCTGCCCATGCTCACAGGCCCAGCCGCCACACCCCAGGGCTCAGGCCAGAAATGTCAGAACGGCTGCCAGGCAGACTGGCGTGGCCACAGCTCCCAGATAAAAGCTACCCACAGCGGCGCAAGTTCAGGAGAGCAGAACTTCCTTGAGCGCGCCATGTTCACCTCCCAGCGGGGCGCGGTATGCAGCCTGCTGCCGCAGCGTGCGCCCTCCACCCAGGGATGCAGGAGAGCAGGGGCGGGCTGCGGGCTCCCGGAGGACACCGCTCTCTCCACTCCGCCATCTCTGGGGCACCTGGCAAGAGCTGGAACCTTCTTGGGGGATGGGGGTCCCATGCTACACACACCCTGATATGCCCTGGCTCCGACACCGTAGGAACTCTCCTTGCCCCTCGCCCTGGAGGAGCGGCAGGGCTTGGAGCTGAGCTGGGCCTGGCCCGCTCCTCGGGCACTGGCAGGAGCTCAGGGATCAGAGCTCAGCCCGGGTGCGTGCAGCCCCTCCGAGCTGCGTGAGGTGGGCAGGGGAGCCACGGAGGCCCGGTCCTTCCGTACTCCAGCCTTTTATTCAAACAAGGACTCCAGCAGCACACACCACCCACCGGCGCCGAGTGACCAGGGCCCCAGGGAGGAAGGACACAGACCGGGCCACGGCCCTGACCAGTGGCTGCCGCCCCTCCTTGGGGCGATGTGAGCACCGGCCCGGCGCCCGGGCCGCGTGTCCTCAACCCTAGCCTGGCTGCCACTGCCCCTGATATCCCTGATCACTGGGATCAGCAGGGCTATCAGCCTGGGCCCAACACGACCAGCTTCAGAGGACACTGCCCCCTGGTGACCAGACTGGCCGTGCTGGCATCCACGGCACGGGTGGACCCTGCACTAGCAGACCTTTCTAATCCAGTGATGAAGCGTGAAGCGCAGTGGCCCTGGCAGGGCCTCCTGAGGCCCGGTCTTCCCATCCCCCCAGGGCTCCCTCCCGCAGGGCAGCAGCCCCTCCCAGGGCCCACCGCAGCTGCCTGGAGGGTAGAGGCCACGGGACAGCAGCGCCCACGCAGCCCCTGCCCCTCCGCTGGACGGGACGGGTGAGGCGTCTGTGAATGTGCATTTCTGGAAAAGCCCTTGGCTACCGATACTACCCCACCCCGGCGGTGCAGCGGGAGATCGGGGCCCCCGACCCACGCAGCCGGGTCTCCCTGGCCCTGAGCTGAAGTTTCACCAGGCGCCCCAAGCCCTGGCGTGGGCACCCCATCTGTGTGGGGCAGGGGACCAGGCGGTCAGCTTACTCCCGGGGCTCTTCCTTGTGCAGGCCCGGGAGCCCGCCCGTGGGGGGTGGCGCTGTCTGCAGAGGCCTCCCGTCCTCCACACAGGGGCCCCGGGGGCCTGCACGGGCCGCTGCCTTGCTGGGCCCGCACCATGGGGCTCCCCCCTGGGCTCTGCTGGTGCAGGCGGGCACAGGCGGCCGGGCCCTGTGGAGCGCACGGTCTCATGCATAAGCGCGGGGCCAGGGCTGCCCGGTGGCGGCGGCGGGCTCCTGCGGAGGTGTGGGGGGGCCTGGTGGGCTTCCCACCCCCGGGGCTGGCAGGGAGCCTCACGGGAGGCAGGAGGAAGGCACTGGCTCCCGAAGCCCCGACAGCCCCCCCCTCCATGGGCCTGGGGTGTGTGGGGGAGTCAGAGGAGCCCCGGGGTCCCTGAAATACATGGCTGTAGGGGACACTGGCTCCCGGGAGACCTGAGGACCTCATACAAAATTAAAAGCCAGGGAGGCAGGCAAGGCCAGACCCGGGGCGCCAGGGCCCCATACCCCCTGCCCAGCACACAGCCACCGTCCCCCGTCCTGGGCCTCTGCAGGCCCAGGGCCGTTAAATATCTCCGTTGCATGTGTGGGCAAAGGCAGTCCTCGGCCATAGTCCTCAGAGCAGAGGGGCGGTTACCGCCCCCACGGCCTGGCCACCGCGAGGACCAGGCTGGGGAGCAGGAGCAGGAGCAGGGGGCGGGGCTGGCAGCGGCAGGCCCCCGAGATCTTCCGCCCCTCCCGCTCCGACAGGCCAGGGAGGGCGTGGGTCAAGGGCGTCCGGGCACTGGAGCTCTTCTTGCCGACCCTTCGGCCACAGACGTCATCTGGGCAGCCGCCGCCGCTACCTGAACCGCTGCTGTCATCGCCTGGGGAGGAGAGGAGGCACTAGCAGGCCCGTCTCGAACCCGGGACCTGATGTCCTTTCTACACAGGGGTCTTGAACCCAGGACCCAGTGGCCAGGCATGAGACTGGGGCCCCCCCTCTGTGGGCCTGCCTCTGGCTGCCCCCCCCCCCCCGGCTGCTCCTGCTGGGGCCACAGATGGAGAGACCTCCTGGCTGGCCAGAGCCCGGCAGCAGCAGCAGCAGCAGCAGCAGCGGCGGCGGCGGCAGCAGCAGCAGCAGCAGTGGCAGCGGCAGCGGCAGCGGCAGCAGCAGGGCCCAAGAGCTCACTGGGCTGAGGCTCTGGGCGGCAGCGGCTGCGAGCCCCGTGCCCTTGCTCTGCGGGCCTGACACCCGGCACACCCTCTGGCCCCGCCCGGCGCTCACTGGAGTCCTGGAAGTCCACATCGTTGCCACTGTAGGCACCGCGCAGCCGGTTGGTCATGATCTTCAGCTGCATGATCTGCTGCCGGATGGTCATGTCCGGCTTGGTGATGTCCACCTCCACCTCGGGGTTGTTGATCTGGTTGGCCAGGCCATCGCCCATCACTTCGGGGAGGTACCTGTGGGTGGGGGACGGAGCACCTGGTCACCGCGCTGGCCCGGGCAGGCCTCCCCCCAAGCCCGAGAACCCCCGTGGACAAAGGCAGCCCACACAGGACCCACATTGGGAGCCCCCAAACACGGAGTGTGCTGTCCGGCCTGGGACGTGGCCACGTGGCACCTACCGCCCCTTGGCCATCCCGTTCCAGCAGCGGTCGTCACTGGCCGGGCTCATGGCCATCTTCTCGCTGCACAAGGTCCCCGGGAGGCTGATCCAGAAGTCCTGGATGTTGCGGAGCTGAGCCTTGGCCTCAGACACCTGCCAGACAGCAGTAAGGCCACTGGGCAGCCTAGGACCAGGCTAGGACCGGGCTAGCTGCCTGTCCTGCCCCCTGTCCCTCGCTGGGCTGGCCTTGGCCAGCAGAGTGGCTGAGGAGTCACTCACCAGCTTCTCCAGCATGCCCGTGGGGGGCTTCTCCGGCAGGGCCAGCTTGCCCCAGCGCCGCTTCTCCTCAGCCGCAGGGCTCTGAGTGTTGACTCTGGGGTTCCCGCAGCCCTGGATGACCTGGGAAGACACCCCAGGGGTCCCTCAGTCCCGGGCGGCCACAGCTGGATGCCCCGCGTCGCCACCCCCTCCTGCGCACCTTGGCCGTGAGTGTGTCCTTGTTGTCCTGGAGGGCGTTGATGGCTCCTGCTAGCCACACGTGCACACTGCCGATAACGCTGTCCGCCCCCGACGGGCCCCAGAACTTGTCCGTGATGAGCACCATGGAATCTGGTACAGGCGTTGGCATGCGTGCACACACACATCGCATGCACACGTTAGAAATCACACACATGGGACAGCAGTAGCTCATACACATCACATGTGCATGTTAGCAATGAGCAGCTGACAGTAGTGTACACAATGCACATTACCAATGAGCAGCTGACAGTATATACACACATGTACATTAGCAATGAGCAGCTGACAGTATATACACACATGTACATTAGCAATGAGCAGCTGACAGTAGTGTACACACACACGTTAGTAATGAGCAGCTGACAGTAGTGTACACATGCATGTTAGTAATGAGCAGCTGACAGTAGTGTACACACACGCATGTTAGTAATGAGCAGCTGACAGTAGTGTACACACACACGTTAGTAATGAGCAGATGACAGTAGTGTACACACGCATGTTAGTAATGAGCAGCTGACAGTAGTGTGCACACGTGCACATTAGCAATGAGCAGCTGACAGTAGTGTGCACACACATGCATGTTAGCAATGAGCAGCTGACAGTAGTGTGCACATGTGCACATTAGCAATGAGCAGCTGACAGTAGTGTGCACATGTGCATGTTAGTAATGAGCAGCTGACAGTAGTGTACTCACACGCATGTTAGTAATGAGCAGCTGACAGTGGTGTACACAATGCACATTAGCAATGAGCAGCTGACAGTGTATACACACATTTACATTAGCAATGAGCAGCTGACAGTAGTGTACACACACGTGCACATTAGCAATGAGCAGCTGACAGTAGTGTACACATGTGCACATTAGCAATGAGCAGCTGACAGTAGTGTGCACACACATGCATGTTAGTAATGAGCAGCTGACAGTAGTGTGCACATGTGCACATTAGCAATGAGCAGCTGACAGTAGTGTGCACACACATGCATGTTAGCAATGAGCAGCTGACAGTAGTGTACACACACGCATGTTAGTAATGAGCAGCTGACAGTAGTGTACACATGTGCACATTAGCAATGAGCAGCTGACAGTAGTGTGCACATGTGCACATTAGCAATGAGCAGCTGACAGTAGTGTGCACACGCATGTTAGTAATGAGCAGCTGACAGTAGTGTGCACATGTGCACATTAGCAATGAGCAGCTGACAGTAGTGTGCACACACATGCATGTTAGCAATGAGCAGCTGACAGTAGTGTGCACATGTGCACATTAGCAATGAGCAGCTGACAGTAGTGTGCACACATGCATGTTAGCAATGAGCAGCTGACAGTAGTGCACACACATGCATGTTAGCAATGAGCAGCTGACAGTAGTGTACACACACGCATGTTAGTAATGAGCAGCTGACAGTAGTGTACACATGTGCACATTAGCAATGAGCAGCTGACAGTAGTGTGCACATGTGCACATTAGCAATGAGCAGCTGACAGTAGTGTACACACGCATGTTAGTAATGAGCAGCTGACAGTAGTGTGCACACACATGCATGTTAGTAATGAGCAGCTGACAGTAGTGCACACATGCACATTAGCAATGAGCATGTTTTATTTTTTGGTCAGTCTTGAGGTTGAACTCTGGGCCTGTGCACTGTCCCTGAGCTGCTTTTGTTCAAGGCTAGTGCTCTACCACGTGAGCCACAGCACCACTCCCAGCTTTTTCTGTGTATGTGGTACTGAGGAATGGAACCCAGGGCTTCATTAATGCCAGGCAAGCCCTCTACGCTAAGCTACATTCCCAGCCCCGTGAGCACTTGTGACAGGAGCTGCGTGCACACAATCACAGGCATGTTAGTAGTCTAGGCCTAGGTCAGTGGGGCTCCTGTGAACCACACTCACAGTGCAGGCCGCAGCCCTCAGTTTCACAGTCTTGCTCCCAACATGCCATCACGTGTGCACTGGCACAGGTGTACTGTTAGCCTACATGTTTACCTCATGGTGTCCATGTGTAACGGTGGCTTTTAACCACTCACACCAGCCACATACCCACATACGCCAGTATGCGTGTGTAATGGCTGTCTCCTACCAGCAGATAGATATGCATGCTAGTTCATGCGTGACGTGGGTTCCACTCACTTTGTCACATGCACATGCTTGGACCACGCCAGCACACATAGGTGTCTGCATGACATGCATGTTCAATTCACTGTCAATGCACACACATGCTTGCACATGCAGGTGTCTGCCATGTGCTGGCATGCTGGAGGTCACATGTTGGCATCATGCGCGTTGGGCACTTGCTCAGAGGGCAGGGTGAAGGGTTCTGACCCCACGGAGCCCCCAGGGCAAGACATCTGCCCCCCAACCTCACAGCCCCCCCTCGTGATGCAGGCCCGAGCCCCCAGGTCGGGCTGGCACTCACCCAGAAGATTCCTCCACTCGGCGTCTAGGTCGGCCTGGTTGGCAAGGCAGCCCTTCAGCACGTTTCGGCAATAGTCGGGGCAGGGCCGGGCGCCAGGAACGCCCAGGCAGTGGGCACAGTAGACCAGCTTCATGACGGCCCGGGAACACTCTGGGCCCAGAGGCACCTGGGGGGAGGGAGGGCAGCCTGAGCCCGCCTGGCAGCCCCGGCGGGCGCTGCCTGATCTGCAGAGACCCGTCCAGCCCAGTCCTTCCCGGGGCTGCGAGGACCTCCAAGAAGCCCTTGCCAGGAAGCTGCACCGCTGCCCAAGCAGGTGAGGACCTGAGATGGGGGGGGGGGGGTCATCCCTGGGGCTGGGAGGGATGTGGGCCTCACCACAGCGAGATGGCCGCTGGAGCCTCCCTTTGGACGTGTCCCGTGCACGTCTCTCCTTTCTGCTGCCCGTCTATCCTGAGCCCTGCAGCTGGCTCCACACCCAGCCCCAGGTTCCCAGGCCCTCCCCAAGCCGAGCGGCTAGCCAGAAGGATGCTCAGGCCAAGGCTGTGCTATGAGCAGACATCCCCACAGAGGCCCAGGGCGGGAGGCTCAGCCCCGGTGGACGAGGCTGGCAGGGCCCGGCCAGTGCGCACCTGGGCCACCTTCTGGACCACATCGCCAGCCACGCCCAGGCCCTGCACGAAGGCGCGGGCGGCCACGAAGGCGCGGGTGGCCCTGAGGCGCAGGTCCCGCGGGGCGTCCCCGAAGGGCCGCAGGGCCTCGGCCTGCTTGCCCAGGCAGTCCAGGTAGTCATCGGCCAGCAGCAGCCCGGGGTGCAGCTGTCTGAAGAGGCGCTCCAGCAGCCGCGCCCAGAACTCGGCCAGCGTCTCCTCCAGGTGCAGCTTGGCGCCCCGGTAGTAGAGGCGAAGCTCTGCGTACAGGTCCCGGAAGGCAGCGGCATTCTGCGTGTATAGCTCCCCGAAGGCCCCGGGGAAGGCGTCCTGCAGGCTGCGCTCCGACTCGTTCAGTAGCTGCTGGAAGTGGTCTGTGCACAGGGGAGGGGGCTGAGGCCTCGGCCGCCATGTGGCCCGCCCGCCCGCCCCACCACCGCTGACCGGAGGGCCCACCCCAGGTCCTCTGTGGACACCCGCCCCCGCCCTCACGGACACGTCAGGGCCCCGTGGCCTTGGGGCTTTGGTGGCCGTGTCACGGAGGCTCTGGGACTCTGAGGAGAAGAGGGCCGGGTTAGCTCGGCCTGGCGTTCCTGCCGGGCAACCGGCATGTCTGGCGCAGACTCACCGTCCACGCCGCGGAGCTGGGCAGCCAGGGCGGCCTGCAGGGCCAGGCTGGTGTCGCGCAGTGCGGTCTCCAGCTCGGCTCGGCTGCGGTTGGCCAGGTTCTCCTCCATCTCGCTGGTGCAGCAGGTGTAGCCCTGGGGGCAGATGCGCAGGTGCTCGCCTGTCGGGAAGGGCACCGTGAGCAGCCGAGAAGCAGCTCCATCCAAGCCGGGCCGGGCCGGGCTCTGGGTGACGCTGGAGGCACTGGGCAGGGGGAGCCGGCCCGGCTCCTTTGGTGCTGGCCCTGGGGGTGGGGGTCCGTGGGTGCCTCGGTGTCAGCACAGGATGATCTCCAACACGGGGTGTGGTGCAGCGCGTCCCAACGTCTCAGCCCAGAGCTCGTCTGGGAGCTGAGGAGGAGGTGGGGACCTCCAGACCCAGGCTCAGCGTGGAAGCTTCTAGGCCTGGCAGGTGCCTGTGGCTCAGGCACAGGAACAGGGATGGCGGAGGAGTCAGACTTCCTCTCCACACCAGTCCCAAAGGGCGCCAGGCCCGGCCACCACTGAGGCACCCGATCCCGCCCAGTCCGCCCAGCCTCAGCGGCGCTCCCGCAGCTCCTCCGTGCCGCCCTAGGCCGCCCACGGAGGGCCCGCTCCAGCAGGAAGCGCCCTCGGGGACAGCCTCACTCCCCACATGGGGCCAGGGCAGCCCGCAGGCGCCTCGTGACGCCCGCTCAGGGAGGATGCAGGGCCAGCCGTGGCGTGGGGGACAGCTTCCTCGGGGGACAGGGGTGTCCCCTCTGAGCTCAAGGGAGGGAGGTTCCAGCCAGGGGGTCAAGCAAACAAGAGCCCCTCAGCCCATCTGCCCCTTCACACGCCTGCGGGAGGGCCTGGCCTGCCCAGCACCGAGGGGAGGTGGAGGCAGGGGCCTGGCTGGACAAAGGGGCTGGAGTCAGTGGAGACCCGGGAGATGTCCCCGTGAGACGGTGATTTTGACGCCAGAGTACGGTGAAGTTGAGCCAGTGTGAGGCAGGGCTGGAGGGGGCGGCCACGGGCGCCTGTCCGCCCCGGTCCCCTCCTCTGGCTGGGAGGAGGAGGGCGGGAGGGGGGCTAGGCCCAGTGTGTGGCCGCAAAGCCACTGCTCCCAGCCACAGCTGGAAGGGGCAGAGTGGCCGTCCATGGATGGTCAGCTCCCACGGGAAGGCGGGGAGGGCAGACCCGGCCATGCTCCCAAGGCTGAGTGAGCCAGCGCGGCACACGCCACAGGCAGCACATCAGCACCCCAGACAGAGCGGTGTGGGGGGCACGTCAGCACCCCAGAAAGAGCAGTGTGTGTGTGTGTGGCATCAGCACCCCAGAAAGAGCAGTGTGTGTGTGTGGGGAATGTCAGCACCCCAGAAAGAGCAGTGTGTAGGGGACTCAAGGAGGGTCCGAGTCCCTGCCCCGTCCTCCCAATGGACTCCGCTGCAGGGCAGGGGTGGGGGCATGTGTCGGGCGGGCAGAGACCTCATGGGCAGGGTGGGGGGAGGGGGGGAGGAAGAGGAGGGAGGGCACGGGGCACAGCCGCGGCCCTCTCATCCGGGGCTGTTCTGAGCCCGCGGGACCCCAGGCGCCGGTGTCAAGGTCCAGAGCCCTCTGGAGTCCGCATGGTCAGGGCCCGTGGGGGCGGGGGGGGGGGGGTGGCGTCTGGTCCAGTGGGGGTCAGGAGGATTGGGGCTACCGTGTGGATGCCTTGGGGAGGCACGCAGCACCCCCAGAGCTCCTGCTCCCCCTTCCTCTTCCCGCCGGGGAGGCGCAGCTGTGCCAGCTGAGGGCTGTGATGCGGGAGAGAAGGGGCCGCCGCCCTTTCCTTTGGGACCCCCGTTCCCCGCCCCCCCAAGCAGAGTGCCCCCCGCGCACCGCAGTGTGGCCCTTCGCTGGGGCGCAAAGACCAGAGAAAGCAAGGGAGGGACCGCGGCAGAGACTACGCAGCCAAGATGCTGAGATGCAAGGGAGCCAAGGCCATGGGCCCAAGAAATGCAGGGCGCTGCCCCCCCGCGGGGCTCCCCGGGACGCTGCCCCCCCCAGGCGCGGGCTCCCCGGGACGCTGCCCCCCCGCGGGCTCCCCGGGACGCTGCCCCCCCCGCGGGGCTCCCCGGGACGCTGCCCCCCCCCCGCGGGGCTCCCCGGGACGCTGCCCCCCCCCCCCGCGGGGCTCCCCGGGACGCTGCCCCCCCCCCGCGGGGCTCCCCGGGACGCTGCCCCCCCCCGCGGGGCTCCCCGGGACGCTGCCCCCCCCCCGCGGGGCTCCCCGGGACGCTGCACCCCCCCCCCCGCGGGGCTCCCCGGGACGCTGCCCCCCCCCCCCCCGCGGGGCTCCCCGGGACGCTGCACCCCCCCCCCGCGGGGCTCCCCGGGACGCTGCCCCCCCCCCGCGGGGCTCCCCGGGACGCTGCCCCCCCCGCGGGGCTCCCCGGGACGCTGCCCCCCCGCGGGGCTCCCCGGGACGCTGCCCCCCCCGCGGGGCTCCCCGGGACGCTGCCCCCCCCCCCGCGGGGCTCCCCGGGACGCTGCCCCCCCCCCGCGGGGCTCCCCGGGACGCTGCCCCCCCCCCCAGGCGCGGGCTCCCCGGGACGCTGCCCCCCCCCCGCGGGGCTCCCCGGGACGCTGCCCCCCCGCGGGGCTCCCCGGGACGCTGCCCCCCCCGCGGGGCTCCCCGGGACGCTGCCCCCCCCCCCGCGGGGCTCCCCGGGACGCTGCCCCCCCGCGGGGCTCTCCCGGGACGCTGCCCCCCCCGCGGGGCTCTCGCGGGACGCTGCCCCCCCCCGCGGGGCTCCCCGGGACGCTGCCCCCCCCGCGGGGCTCCCCGGGACGCTGCCCCCCCCGCGGGGCTCTCGCGGGACGCTGCCCCCCCCGCGGGGCTCCCCGGGACGCTGCCCCCCCCGCGGGGCTCCCCGGGACGCTACCCCCCCCGCGGGGCTCTCCCGGGACGCTGCCCCCCCCCGCGGGGCTCCCCGGGACGCTGCCCCCCCCGCGGGGCTCCCCGGGACGCTGCCCCCCCAGGCGCGGGCTCCCCGGGACGCTGCCCCCCCCCGCGGGGCTCCCCGGGACGCTGCCCCCCCCGCGGGGCTCCCCGGGACGCTGCCCCCCCCGCGGGGCTCTCCCTGGGACGCTGCCCCCCCCCGCGGGGCTCCCCGGGACGCTGCCCCCCCCCGCGGGGCTCTCCCTGGGACGCTGCCCCCCCGTGGGGCTCCCCGGGACGCTACCCCCCCCCGCGGGGCTCTCGCGGGACGCTGCCCCCCCCCCCCCCCGCGGGGCTCTCCCTGGGACGCTGCCCCCCCCAGGCGCGGGCTCCCCGGGACGCTGCCCCCCCGCGGGGCTCTCCCTGGGACACTGCCCCCCCCCAGGCGCGGGCTCTCCCGGGACGCTGCCCCCCCCGCAGGGCTCTCCCTGGGACACTGCCCCCCCCAGGCGCGGGCTCTCCCGGGACGCTGCCCCCCCGCGGGGCTCTCCCTGGGACGCTGCCCCCCCCCAGGCGCGGACTCTCCCGGGACGCTGCCCCCCCCGCGGGGCTCTCCCTGGGACACTGCCCCCCCCCAGGCGCGGGCTCTCCCGGGACGCTGCCCCCCCCGCGGGGCTCTCCCTGGGACGCTGCCCCCCCCCAGGCGCGGGCTCTCCCGGGACGCTGCCCCCCCGCGGGGCTCTCGCGGGACGCTGCCCCCCCCGCGGGGCTCCCCGGGACGCTGCCCCCCCCGCGGGGCTCCCCGGGACGCTGCCCCCCCAGGCGCGGGCTCCCCGGGACGCTGCCCCCCCCCCGCGGGGCTCCCCGGGACGCTGCCCCCCCCGCGGGGCTCCCCGGGACGCTGCCCCCCCCCCAGGCGCGGGCTCCCCGGGACGCTGCCCCCCCCCCGCGGGGCTCCCCGGGACGCTGCCCCCCCCCCGCGGGGCTCCCCGGGACGCTGCCCCCCCCCCGCGGGGCTCCCCGGGACGCTGCCCCCCCCGCGGGGCTCTCCCGGGACGCTGCCCCCCCCGCGGGGCTCTCGCGGGACGCTGCCCCCCCCGCGGGGCTCCCCGGGACGCTGCCCCCCCGCGGGGCTCCCCGGGACGCTGCCCCCCCCCCCGCGGGGCTCCCCGGGACGCTGCCCCCCTCGCGGGGCTCCCCGGGACGCTGCCCCCCCCGCGGGGCTCTCCCGGGACGCTGCCCCCCCCCGCGGGGCTCCCCGGGACGCTGCTCCCCCAGGCGCGGGCTCCCCGGGACGCTGCCCCCCCCCGCGGGGCTCCCCGGGACGCTGCCCCCCCCCGCGGGGCTCTCCCCGGGACGCTGCCCCCCCCCGCGGGGCTCCCCGGGACGCTGCCCCCCCCCGCGGGGCTCTCCCTGGGACGCTGCCCCCCCCCGCGGGGCTCCCCGGGACGCTGCCCCCCCCCGCGGGGCTCTCCCTGGGACGCTGCCCCCCCCGTGGGGCTCCCCGGGACGCTACCCCCCCCCGCGGGGCTCTCGCGGGACGCTGCCCCCCCCCCCCCCGCGGGGCTCTCCCTGGGACGCTGCCCCCCCCCAGGCGCGGGCTCCCCGGGACGCTGCCCCCCCCGCGGGGCTCTCCCTGGGACACTGCCCCCCCCAGGCGCGGGCTCTCCCGGGACGCTGCCCCCCCGCAGGGCTCTCCCTGGGACACTGCCCCCCCCAGGCGCGGACTCTCCCGGGACGCTGCCCCCCCGCGGGGCTCTCCCTGGGACACTGCCCCCCCCAGGCGCGGGCTCTCCTGGGACGCTGCCCCCCCGCGGGGCTCTCCCAGGACGCTGCCCCCCCCCCCCAGGCGCGGGCTCTCCCGGGGAGCTGCCCCCCTTCCCCCGGGCGCGGGCTCCTCAGCCCCTGGGCCAGCCATCAAGCAGGCTCTCTCTGTGGCCTCCCAGCGTCTGCTCCTGGCCCAGCCAGCCGGGTGACCCGCGCTGTTCCAGCTGCCCCAGCACAGCCCCCGGCCCTCCCTCCCTCCTCTAGACACGGGAGTGAAGACACGGAGCCAGAGCCCGGACGCCGGCCTGAGGGCCCCGGGCAGGCTGGGCCAGGCTGCCCCAGGCCCGCTGCAGGGCAGAGCCGCACGCTGAGGCTTGGGCTGCAGGTGCTGGACGGAAGGGGTTGGGAGCCGTCCCATCCCCGGTCTGCTGTAGAGGGCGGGGTGAGCAGGCCGGGCCAACCAGCCTCCCACTG